TTGCAGCATGTCTTCATACCATAATAACCTCATCATATTTTCCATAAATGAACCAACCATTCTACCATGCTATCATACACATGCCATGCATCCTTTTTGGTAAAATTTGGAAACAAATGACATTGTACAAACCTGCCTCATTATCTCTCTCTCTCTCTCTCTCTCTCTCTCTCTCTCTCTCTCTCTCTCTCTCTCTCTCTCTCTCTCTCATGTGCCACTAATTTCATACCTCTCTCTTGACATTTTACTCAGCAAAACCACCCAAAATAAGTGTGGGCACACCATGACCCGTACCTCGTTCTCATGGTATCATTTTTTTTTTGCAAAATTCCCAAACAACTTTTTTCCTTAATTTAAGCCAATTAACACCTCATAGTCCACCTTATAAAAGGGTACAAACACTAAATGGTATAATAAAACCTCATTGTTGCAAGAACCAAATCAGAATTCCACAACTTTTCCACAAAACCTCTCTCTTCGAAGCTCCTTTCTCCTTTAAGTTTCTCTGCATTTTTTGCTTAGTTCATCTTCACCAAAGCATAAGGAAGTTGTTGGAAGCTCTCATTTGAAGTTTAAGCACAATTTCAAGGGCCAACGGAACCTCTCTGTTGAGTAAGTTTCTTCTATTTTTTTCTCTCATGTTAGACCTGTTTCAAGCTTATGTTTGCTGGTTCTGAAGTCTTACATTATTGTAGGCATTGTTCATGAAATGGTTGTGTTGATTTAAGAGCATTTCAGTTTGTGGATGTAATTTTTGTGCTCCTTTTTTATTGTGTTAGAGTAGTTTTCAGTGGAAACTAAGATCATATTTGAGTTCTGCGTGAAAAAATATGCGAAATGATGTCAAACTTTATTGATTTTGGTGGTGGTTGTAGGCGTCGTCGGTGAGGCTCACCGGGGAAGATGTCCGGAGCTAAGGCTCTGGAATCTGAGGTGTATGGTGATGTAATCATTGACTTGCTTGCGTGTTGCGTTGAAAAGTGAGGTGGCATGTCACCTCCTTTAATGAAACGCAACGTTTCATTTATCCTGACCAAATTCTTTTTTTGTTAAACGTGGGCTTATTGTTTTTACTACCCACACCACGCTTTTTTTAAGCCCAATGCACAGTGTACATGAGCTCAGTTCTTCTTTTTTTTTTTTTTTTTTTTTTTTCTTTATTATTTCTGATTTCATTTTATTTTTAATTAATTAATCCATGATAAAAATGATTAAAAATGTGTTTTTGATGACTTAACATGTTGACATATTTTTCATATTTTTATTTTATTTTTCATTTATTTTATTATTCTTAATTGAATTTAATTTAGGAGTGATTTTACACTTTTGTCCTTAACTAAGGTTTGATTGTTTGATACCTTTACCATGCCTTTTTGACCCATTATTTTTTTCCAAGATTTGATATATGAATGTTGATTTTTTAAGGGTTATTTTGATGTCTTGGTGTGTTTTTTTGGTTAGTTTCTCATTGCTTTTTGTGGAGCCTCGATGTATGCTCGATTCTTATACTATGTTTGTCTTGATTAGTTGATTTGACGATGCATTTATGCAATTCCTTTTGAGATCTTTTTCAAATTTGTTCTTACGAAATATAACTTGGGTTTGAGGTTTTAATTGGAATTTATTTGGTATTGTTTCTATTTTTGGATGATGCATCAAGTTGATGTTGTTTTGACCATGATATTGTGCATGTCTTGACCTAGTTTCTTGAGGATGTTTCTTGAATGATCTGATTGATGCTTAATAAATTTTGTGTTGACTTGTTTAAGGTTTTGACCTTCATTTTTAGAGGTTCATTGCATGATCACCTTGTATCATTTACTTCACATGTTTATTTGTTTCTCTTTTGGATAACTAGAGGGATGTTTGCCTAACCTTTTGTGCATGAACTTGAGTTTGTTTCTTTTTGGGTTTGATTGTTGATTTAGATTTGAGTATGATGTGTATCATTTGAACATGCTTGTGACCTTGATGATATGGTATACTTTACTTGATCATTTGTGTTTTGTACCTTGCTTGAACATCTTCTTTCTTTTAAGAATGACTATGATGTGTGTGCTTGCTTTTTGATGCATGTTTTGGATTCAATCCTTGTTGTTTCTCTTGTGTGTTCATGAGTGGATATTTAAGTTTATATTCATAATGATGTTTCTGACCTCATATGGTTTTATACTCGAATCTCACATGTCTACTCCTTTGAAGAATGTCTTGCATGCTTGTTTTGTATGACAATTAATTGTGTATGAATGTGATGCATGACTTGACTCTATGGGCCCTTTCTTTGACCATTGACATGGGTTGAATATGATATGATGTGCTACTCCCCCACCTTGTTTCTCACCACTTTTGACTTTATCTCTCTTTGTTTGATGTGTGACATTGCTCCTTGTTGGACTTTAAGTCATTTGTATGTGTCTGGGCACTTTGTTTTGCCATTTGGTTTTGATTTCAAACTTTTGGGTATGGTTTGACATGTGAATACATTCTTGTTGCTTTGAAATGATGTTAATGCTTCCCTTGTGTGATTGAGATCATTTCTTGCTTATTTAGTGTTTTGCCTTTGAACTTTCATGTTTGTTCTTTGTTGCATTCCTTTCTTCTTCTTTCATTTCTCTTTCTCTCTTTCTCTTCTTGAGACTCGGTTAATTCTTGAGTTTAATTTTATTTGTGAATGATTAGTATGGTGTTTACTTGTGCTTACTCACATGATTCCTTAGGATTTTTAGTTCCACTTAATTTCTGATTAAGTTGGAGGTAGGAGAGACATTAGGCTTTCAATCCTTTGCATGATAACAATTAGGATAGTCCCTCTTTGACCTCAACTTTAGGTACATCATTTGTATGATAACATTAGGTATACTTTCCTTTTATATCAACTATAGGACCATTATACATGATAACATTAGAATCCAGTTTCCCTTAGTGTTTTTTTTCACCCTTTGTGTCCTTTCTCATCTCATCTCAAAACAATTTCTAAGACACATAATAAAGACAATGAACGTTGTGTGCCACGAGCCTTAAGCATATGGGGAATGATGAGTGAGGGGTCTCTCCTTACTTATCTAGAGTGTTTAGTGTATGTCCCGTCTGGGGGCGATATGCGACACATACGTTCCTATATCATAGTCTTTAGTACAACGTGAATCTCAAACCAATTAATTCACTTCTCTAAAACTCATAAACAAATTTCAAACTTTTTCATCCTTTGGGATTGTCTTTCAAACTCATTTTCAGAAAATGATCGTTACTTTTTTGTTCTACCACAAACAGGCATCGACCCTAATTGATAGAATGGGAACTTAATGTCGCTCATAAAAACACTTAACCAACCTGTGGTTTAGTTTGTCAAACTACATTTTCTCTAATTTCTCATACTAGATGAGAACACGTAGGCACAAGACGACGAAGTCTTGGCGAGCACCCTTTTCCCTTTCTTCCATAGTTTTTCGAACTACGTTTGCTCTGATTTCTTATACCATATGAGGATACGTAGGCACAAGACAACGAAGTCTTGACGAACAAACTCCCCCCATCACCCGTAGTTTTCTGAACTACGTTGACTCTGACTTTCCCATTGCACGAGGGAATACGTAGGCATAGGGCGACGATATCCTACCAAGTCTCCTTTTCTTTTCCCTTTCCCGTTTCTGTTTAGTAGTAGCTTTTAGATAACACACCCTTTGATTAGACAACAAGCGTGGATTCCATTGAGTACAACAGATGCGATGGAGTGCTAATACTTTCTCCTTGCGTAACTGACTCCCGAACCCAAGATTTGGTTACGATGACCTTGTCTTCTCATTTCTTTTAGGTTTTTTTCGACCCTTTCCCTTTTCCTCCTTTGAGATAAATAACGTTCGGTGACGACTCTTCTGTTTGTTTCTGCCGGTTATTTTTTCGTAGTTGCAACACACTTAATCTTGTAAAAGCAAACGTCTCACAGGTCACCTGATCCTCCAAAAATAGATATATCTAACTAATCATTTAATAACATATGAATCCATATAGACAATCATTGATAGACGGTCCTTACACGATCTTACAAGAAATAACATATGAATCCATAGACAATCATTGATAGACGGTTCCCACACTTAACTAAGTTAAGTAACAATTATTTATTTTTTAAAAAAGTGTGTAATATTTTAACCACTTACTACATAAAGTAAACTTTTATAATTTAGAATTACCATGATTATCTAGGCGGGACAATGAGAAAAAATGAGAATGATATGTTTATTTAAAATTTAAACATAAAATCCAAAATGTTTTACAAGTTACAACATCAAGGCTTTAAAAAATAATGTAAAATAATAGCATATGTAATTTATAATTATCACTACATTTGGTTTCCTAATAAGAGAATAATAATTTAAATATATTACTTTGCAATACATTATTTTGACGGGTTGGTAGAGTATCTATAAATTCCAATTCTTGCACATTATAGACATATGACTTTGCTGATTATGTTGTTCTGCACTAAAAAACAATATAGGCCAACCTAACAGAACCCCAACAAAGAGAACATGGTGAAACGAAAAGACAAGTAACTCCAATAAAATTACACATAACAAAGTTATGTTATTCATATATCATTAGTTAGCTGCTGATGCTTTATGAAACAATGGTTCATACACTTATTACATTAAAAATCTTGCACATAAAGAGAATTAAGAATAGCCTCAATAACATGTTCACCTTCATACGAAGATTTCTTCATGGAGGATGGGGACAACAAAATTTACATTTTAGCCAATAACTTACTATGTCAATATCACCATACACAAAGATAATCAAAGTGTTACGAGCAGAAGAAATGATGCAGAGCATATATCACATTAAAAGTGGAGTAATGAAGTTTATTACAGACCGATTCAATACACAAACTACAAAATCATTTTGTTTAAACAAAGGTGTTGCATTATAATTTACCAAACAAAAACAATCACAAACACTCTTGAGTCTCTAATTTAACAGAAATGGTTAAAATTCGAGTCTCAAGAACTAGTTGGTGATGGCACTGCTACACCCGGCACAACAAAATGCGAAACACCTTCCGATAAGTTCTTCATTGCTTTGTCATAATTAACAAAACCCATGAACCAAAAATCATGTCCATCAACTGTCACAATCTGGATATACTTCTCTGATTGATTTTCTTTCATGATTACAGGATTAACCGTTCCAATCTTCCCCAAAGGCACCATCACCTTGTAGTAGCTCCAAGTTTCTTGGCCAGAGGGTGCAGTGAAACTCAATGGACGATCACTGCAAAACGCTAGATGAATATTAGACAAGTAAAGTGTTCCTGCAACAGGTCCTGTTGTTGTTGAAAGATAACAAGCAAATGTCTTTTTCAGATTCTCATTCGGATAAGTAGTGAATATTTGTTTGTAAAGTGACTCAAATCCACCCTCTGATATAGCTTTTACGGTCAGATTCATCTTCCCCATTGCAGCTGAAGACACAGAAGGTCCTGTCCTAACTGCAAATGAATCACAGTAACAAAAACATCAGTAAGTATATTTGGAGTTTGGAATAGGGAAATGGTAGGACTTACGATTGTGCCAGATGTTGTTGGCGGTGGCTTCGGCTTTTTTGCTCCAAGAATCGAACATGTGGAGAATTGATTCCATGGGACTGTTGCTAGGTTTTTCCACAGGGGTGTGTTGAACATAAGGATGATCTTGCTGGTAATATTGAACCTGAGGTTGTTGTGGTGGTTGTGTATCGGTTTGTAAAGCTGCTTTCTTGTTGTCTGGGTGACTACTTGGAATTGCTGGTGCTCCCATCATGTGAGTTCCCCAGTTCTGAGATGTAGCAGGAATAGATGATGAAGAAGATGATGCAAATGGGTTTTCATCCGGTGATTGGGTTTTGTTATTGTTGTTCATGTTGTAAAGGTGAGGAAGAAAAGGGTTAGTGATGAGAGATTGAGAAAAATGATGAAAAAGAAAATAGAAAATGGTTCGATTTTAAGGAGAGAGATACTATACAGTTGTTGGAACTTGGAACAGAGTTGAAGCAATTTCACCGACTATGTACGTTTGCTTAACCGCGTAATCTTCGTACACGTGATGAATATACTAGTGTATTCTTTAGATGACACATCACAAGTCGACGATGTATTCTTTTAAAAAATAAAAATATTTTTCTTTTAATTTTTAAAATAGATACACAATTTTTCAATTTATGGGTCTAGTAGTACTTAAATGAATTTCAATTTGGATAATAAATAGTAAATCAAAATTATTCAATAATTCTTTAATTTCTATTTTAAAAAATCAATCTAATTCATTTAAAACAAAATTTATAAATAAAGTAATTAAATTGTTGTAATTAAACTAAACTAAGTTATTTAAAAAATATATTGTTTTATTAATAATGAGTAGTTGATTCTATTAAAATGTGACATTCTACATTGTTTCCCTCATGCTGAGAACCAACATTTTTAACACACTCCATCATTAATCACTTCAATTTCATCATTCTCCATGTCTACTTCTTCTCTATAAATATTGTTGGTTGATTGAGTCTTGTCTTCTTTGTTATGCTTGCTTGATTCCCTACTTTTTGATTATTAAAAAACCATATCCTTGTTGATCAGGATCTTGTTATTCATAGGATCATAAAACTTGTAAGCCTTTGATTCTTTACTAACTTCTAGAAGAATACACTTTGTACTCTTGACATCTAGTTTTTTTCCGTGCACATCAGAAATGTGTACAAAAGCTATGCACCCAAACACTTTGAAGTGATGCACTGAGAGATTTACACCACTCTATGCCTCTTCAGAAGTCACGTTCTTCACAGATAATTTTGGATTTCTATTGATTACATATGTTGCCCATTTAGCTGTTTCAGGCCAAAAGCTCTAAGGAACATTTTTATTTGTCATCACGCTTCTGATCATATTCATCAAAGTCCTATTCTTTCTCTCTGACACTTCATTTTGATGTGGAGTATAGGCAGTTGTCAATTGCCTCCTGATGCCACGAAGAGTGCAGAAGTCACAAAAAGCATTTGATGTAAACTCCCATCCTCTAACTGGTCTAAGACATTTGATGTAGATGACTGACTCTTTTTCTACTAAGGCTTTTAATTGTTTGAAAACATCAAAAGCAACATCTTTGATAAGTGTCATGTAACACTCCCTAATTTAATTAATTAATTAAAATTAATTTTCATTGCTTTTATTTATTCATTTGGATGATTTAATATACTTTTAATTATTTATTTTGGTGATAGCAAGTGTTATATAATTTTTGGGGGTTTATTAGAATTTAGTGGAGCTTTATTTGATTAAAATAGTAGAAATAACAATTAGTTAAATAGAAAATTAAGAGAAATAGTGATATTGAGGTAGAAAATAGGATTATTAGAAAAATAAGGGAAAGTGGTGAAAGTAGAGATTAATGGATGGGTAAAATTGTGAAAAAGAGAGTTAATTATATTTTAGGTTAAAATAAATAGAATATGTGAGGGGAGCCAAATTTATCAGTACGTAGAAATTGTGCAATTGGGAAAAAGAGGCAAGTGTGACAGAAGAAGAGCAAAGGCTTGAGAGAGAAGAAGAACACCATAACTAAACTTGTTTAGTTGCTAGAAATTCAGGTAAGGGGGAACTATTCTAATATAGGCGTTATTACATGAAGGGTAGAGAGGGATCCTCACCCTCCTCTAGGATTTTCTCTATTGTTGTGTTTTATGAATTTTTTAATGTAATTATGTGTAATCCATGATAATTTCCATATTTGATGTGTAAATTTGTGCTTTGATTATTGCTGAATTTTATGTATATTGAATGATTATGACTCTAAATGTTATCACTACCATTAATGTGTATTTGGTTTTATGAACATAACATTGAATTCATGATTAATTGATGAAATTGGATGTTAATTGGTGTATATAGGACGATTTAATTGTTATATCATGTGTATATATTGTTTTCTGTGCGATTATAGGGGTCAAAGTTAGAGCTTTAAATGAGCTCCCACAGTGAAAAACGCAGATTTTGGTTCTGCATCAGTGTGACGGTCGTCACGAGCGTAACAGGTTGCCTATCATGCTTCTGGGTCAATTGACGGTCGTTAGCAGGTGACGGAGAAACCTTCATAGACTCCAGGTGGGATTTTTCCTGTCAGTCATCATAAGGGTGATGGATTGTGAAGAGAGAGGATGACGAGCTGGGTGACAACTGTTACCCAGGTGACGAGCTGGTCGTCATGGTCGTCAGGAACCAGTTTTGAGCGGTCAGTCCGATTTTTGATAATGTTTTCTCGTGTGTTCGATGATTGATTTTTGTTTCAGTGTACTTGATGAATTTAATGAAAAAAGAATCGAATTAATTTGTACGTTCATAAGTAATGAATTATGATTTTATGTATGAGTTGTGATGTTGTGAATATAATTATGTGTTGTGAACGTAATTATGGTTGTTGTGTTAATGTGAGTAGTTTAAATATGGGGACTACTGCGAATGTTGTATTGCATGTTGCTTATGGTTAGAAGTGGTGCCATAAGTGTTGTTGTTGTTGTTGTTGTCGTCGTTGTTGTTCTTCTTGTTATTGTTATTGCATTACTTTGTATGTCATGCTTCATTTTGTGTCAGTATGTTGAAAGTGGCGAGTCACGGGCTCAGAAGTGGGGACTAGTGATTGTCCGGGGTTTATAAGTGGGGACCCGGTTCGAATGAGGAACCATTGTTGAGTGGACGAGATCAATAACAAACCTCTGATGTCCAAATTGGTATCACATTCATAGAGTCGAGTTCTGAGTCACATTTCATACATAAAGGCTATATGAATTGAATTATGTTGTTGTTGTGTAGCTTGAATGTGTGATTTAAGCTACTCTTACATTCTTTTACATTGTTAATATGTTCGAGTGTATTCTCACCCCTTTGTTGTTTGTTTTGTGTTATTCTGTACAATGTTGTACAAATACTCAAGAGGAGTAAGTGATGGTATGAGTTAGAAGAGGACTATGAAGCTCTCTTTATTTCCTTTATTGTTTTATCGTTATTTAGTTGGAACTATTGCTCTGATTTGTAACATCAGGGAATAGGTCATTTAAATTGTTGAGTTAATGTTTGGAATTTGTTAATGTCGTTAAGTACTTCATCTGACGAGATATTGGAGGTGTATGTTAATGATTTTGAATTCCACTGTGAGTTTTGCATTCAATTGGAAAGTATGCATGTTATGTTTTGAGTAGCATCCTATAAGAATGATTTTATTCTTTAATTAAGAGTTAGGATTTTAGGGTGTTACATAGTGGTATCAAAGACTGGTCGGTCCACCCGACCAGATTTTGTGATGTTATATATTCCCTGTTATGTGACATGTGTATATACAATGTCGATGTAATGTTTCTTGTAATAGCTATTTACTGGTATGCAGAGATATGGCTGGAAGAAATGATCGTAGAATCGTTGATGCTTTGGAGGCTATGACTCACGTGATGAGTCTGGAGAATCAAGCATTGTAAAACTAACATGGAATGACAGATGAATTCCATGGGCTGAGTAAGCTTCAAAGGAACAACCCACTGAATTTTAAGGGGAGGTACGACCCAAAGGGTGCTCATATTTGGTTGCAAGAGATTGACAAGATCTTCAGGGTAATGGCTTGCAGCGACGCGCATAAGGTCCCATTTGGCACTCATATGCTATGCTAGCAGAGTAAGTATAGTATTGGTGGGAGAATGCTCGTTAGAGGGTTGAGGCTACAGGTACTAAGATCACCTGGGAATTCTTCAAAACTAATTTCCTTGAGAATTATTTTCCTGTTGATGTCCATAGCAAGAAAGAGACCGAGTTCCTTGAGCTAAAATAGTGAAACATAATAGTTGTTGATTATGATGCGAAGTTTAAGGAGTTGTTTAGTTTCTGCCTGCATTACAATGGGGTAGAAGACAAGGGTTCTGAATGTATCAAGTTTGAAAGTGGATTGCGTCCAGAGATCAAGAAATTCATCAGGTACCAGGAGATTCATAAGTTCTCTGTGTTGGTTAATAAGTGTAGAATCTACGCTGAAGATAGTCTTGCTAGATCTGCTCACTATAATAGAATTAGTGAGAAGAAAAGTGGAAATCAAAACCACAGAAAACCTTATGGGGCTCCAATTGATAAATGGAAGTGGAACGCTTCAGGTGGGAAAGAGAGAAGTAATGGAGACACTCTTGCTTATGTCAGATGTTTTAGTTATGGAGGGATAAGACATTGTGCTAATGAATGCAAGAGTTTTGGTTAGAAATGTTTCAAGTGTGGGAAGCTAGGACACCATATTGTTGATTTCAAGAGTAATATTCTGACATGCTTCAACTATGGAGAACCAGGTCACATCAGTACTCATTTCCAGAAAACTAAGAAAGCTCAGTCTAGAGGGAAAGTTTTTGCTTTGAGTGAGCGGAGACTACTAGATATGATAACTTGATTCGTGGTACGTTCTTTATTCATGGTGTTTCTCTGATTTCTATGGTTGACATGGGTGTGATGCATTCGTTCATATCTCTTAATTATGCTAGAAAGTTGAATCTTAAAGTATATGTAGAAGCATGCTTCAATCTCAAGTTTTGATGATGTCAACACTACTCAAGAAACTCATTTCTTAGTTGCAAAAAGTCAAGCCTTTCAAAGTTATCAAGACTATGCAAGGTTATCTTTCAATTCAAGACTATGCAAGGTTATCTTTCAAGTCAAGCTCCGCATGCAAAAACTGTTCTACATCTGTCGAGACTTGGACACAAGGCTGGTATATCAAAGTTCTATCTCTAAATTGATATACAAGTGTTCAATACTGTAAACTATTTTTGCATAATGCATTAACAGGTTTTAAAATCATTTGGAATTGGTATAACACTTTTAACTTAATTATTTTTCAAAGTTTTT